AAGGTAAAATGGCTTCCTTTCTCTTATGTTCTACCAGCAATAACATTAGGCACAAACATAAAGTAAAAATCTACATTATATTTACATTTAAAACAAACCTAGAAAAGCCATGATTCTGAACTAAATATTCTACCTAAAGAATCTCTTCCACATACTCTTTCCTGGTCACTCACTCGATGCCCTTTGTTTCTTAATTCCTGTGATTCTTTTTACCCCTCTTTGCTATACAAGGCTTTGCCTAAACTTGTATGCCCCTTACTATAATGTAACCTCTCCCAGGGATCATGTCTTATTCACCTTGTGTCTTTCTCAGCACTCAGCACTGGGCTTTGACCATAGTTGACCAGCAATAAAACATTTAAGTCAAAACAGGTTTCTGCTTCAGGTGAAAACATGACTTTAAGCTCAAGCAACTGCTATCTATAATTATAACTCATAATTCTAGATAAGGTGGAACACACAGGACTGGGGACCACCAATAGCTCTGCTAACTACAGCTGAAATTTTGAATAAATCAAGAACCACCAACGCCATAAATTTTTAGGATCAGGAACTTTGTGCCACGCTTTCCCTGACACCCAGCATTTGATAATCATTTACTGCCTTAGGCACCATGCACCTGTATGCAAAACCCTCAATCATGATGATATAGAGATGAGCTTTAAATGAACGGTAACATTATAGGCTATCATATCCTCACAGAAGTCCTTCTATTCTAGGTAAGAGAGGGATCTACAAAGGCTTATCACAGAAACTGGTCATTTCAAGCTTGGCTAATAGGGGTTCTTTACATGAGCTTTTTAGGTAAAGAGCAGGAATAGAAATTCTGGTAGTCCTTATCAGTAATGATCAGCAATGTTCCATCCACGCAGCTCCTATTGCCCCTTATAAACAGTAAGGTGGTAACAGAATTTTCCAAAATCAGGTCCAAGGGGGTAGGGGGGAACTTAGCTCAGGATGAGTACAACAGTAAAAAATGGGTTTGGTTGTAATTATTTAGGTCAGAAACAGGGTCGAGGTTGCCTCTTTTAGAGACAAGAATTAGATATACGGTACAGTAAATAAATTGGCCCCGCTCTATAGCACTACCCAATAGAACTTTCTGTGGTGAACATTTCTATTATCTGTGCTGCCCCAGTACTGCAGCCACAAACCACATTGTGACTGTTGAACACTTGAAATGTGGGTAATGTGACTGAGGAACTAAATATTAAATTTATTTAATTTTAATTAATTACATTTAAATTTAAATAGCCAAATGTGGCTGGTGGGGTTTCCATGGTGGCGCAGTGGTTTAGAATCTGCCTGCCAATGCAGGGGACACGGGTTCGAGCCCTGGTCCAGGAAGATCTCACATGCCACAAAGCAACTAAGCCCGTGCGCCACAACTACTAAGCCCACGCACCACAACTACTGAAGCCTGTGCACCTAGAGCCTGTGCCCTGCAACAAGAGAAGCCACTGCAGTGAGAAGCCCGCGCACCGCAACGAAGAGTAGCCCCACTGGCCGCAACTAGAGAAAGATTGCACGCAGCAACAAAGACCCAACGCCGCCAAAAATAATAAATTAAATAAAATAAAAAAAAATGTGGCTGGTGGACAGTGCAGCTCTAGATTCTCTAAGTCAGTGGTTCTCAACCAGAGGGGATCCTTTCACCCCCAGGGGACAACTGCCTCAACTGGAGATGTTTTTGGTTGTCACACTGTGGGGAGGGGATGCTACTGGCATCTAGTGGGTGGAGGCCAGGGATGCTGCTAAACATTCTACAGTACACAGGACAGCCTCCTACAATAGAGAATTATCCAGCCCAATGTCAGTGGTGCCAAGGCTGAGACATCTGCTCTAAGTTTACTCAAGGTTGGAATTAAAAGTGCAAAACAGGGCTTCCCTGGTGGTGCAGTGGTTGAGAGTCTGCCTACCGATGCAGGGGACACGGGTTCGTGCCCCGGTCTGGGAGGATCCCACATGCCGCGGAGCGGCTAGGCCCGTGAGCCATGGCCGCTGAGCCTGCGCATCCGGAGCCTGTGCTCCGCAACGGGAGAGGCCACAGCAGTGAGAGGCCCGCGTACCGGAAAAAAAAAAAAAAAGTGCAAAACAAACTGCTATACACCTTGTCTAAGCATAATACCCAGGAAGAATGAGATTTTTCCAAGCAGCAAGAAAAGATCTGGGCTGTTCTACAAGTTTAAAGTAGCAGGTTTTTACTAACAGGTGTTATGTAGGTGTGTTGAGTACCTTATTAAAATCTTCAGCATCAGCGTTATTACTTCCTGTGGCATTTTTAAACTTGGATATTAACATAAGTAAACACTGTGAGATTTGTTCCTTATGAGTTGGACGTACAGTATTGGGGGGGCTGAGGCGCCAACTCTTCTAGTTTGAATTCCTTGTCCCTATAATTAACCTATCTATAGTTTCTCTGGATGTCACTAATTTTGAATACAAAAAGAAAACATATATTGTGAAAGAAAAGCAAATCAAGGCAAGAAAATGGCTCTGTCATCGCAGGTCTGCATGTCTACAGATTACTTAAAGAAAAAGCAAGGGTACAAAATTATATTTGGACCAAAGGAAATGTACTGAGTGATTCTATTAAACAATGATAGCACACTACATTATAGAGTGAGAGAGATTACTTGAAATTTTAGAGGATGGGTATCAAATAACATTGTGGTTTCTGTAGCCAGTCTAAATTATGCAAGGATTAGTTTAAATGGCATCATTCAGAACTGCTCAAATAGTTCTTAAATTTATACTAGCAATGTAGAATTTAACCCAGCAGTCTATTCCTCAAAGAAACCAGAATAATGGACACAATTCAATGTTTTACTTTGATTCAAACTGTTTTTCACAACACAAAATTTTCAACATTCATATTACAGCAATGCTTTTTCTTTTCTGCCCACTTAGCACCAAGAGAAATTGTTCATTACAAGTAAAGCCCTGTCTTGCTTCAGGGAATATAAAAATAAGACACAGTACTAGTTCTGAAAAACTTACATTCAGAATTTACACACTGGCCTAAGGCAGAGACTTCCAGCCCACACATTCTGAATTCCTGAAAGATCCCTGCAATTTTTGTGAATGTGCCAGGCTTAAGCATGCTGGAGTTTCAGTACCTCTTCAGATCTTCATTTGAAGAGTTTAAGATCTTTTATCATCAATTAACATTTAGGGAGCAACCACTGTAATCTAGTAATCAAATACCAGAAAAATAATATTTGAAGCAGGATTCCAACCCATTCTGTTTTGCAGATCTGCCTATAACAAACTATTCTTGGAGGAAAGAACACTCCAGTTCTTTAGATTTCTAACTGAAATGCCACAAAGCCCCTCCCATCTTCTTTATGAAATTGGAAAGGAAACAACACTGAAGGGACATTTTTAGCATCATTTTGTATTCAACCATGGGCGTTTGTATTCAACTACTGGTCCACACATGGTGTAGACCAGGGGTTCTCAGCCTCAGCACTACTGATAATTCTCTGGTACAGGGTCTGTCTTGTGCAATGTCGGATGTTAGCAGCATCCCTGGCCTCTACCCACTAGGTACCAGCAGCCCCTTCCTAATGCCTGATTGTGACAATCAAAAGTGTATCCAAACGTTGGCCAAATATCCCCTGGGGAACAAAACAGCCTGGTGGTTGAGAATCACTGATTTAGACTGAAACTCAAAGTACCACAAGGTAGACACTGTGCTCATCAAAAGCCTGGGAAGACTTTATTCCTAGACAGAAAAACATGTAACATTCACCACAGAGGCGGTGTAAGAAAAACGTATTATCTTTGTCCTTTCTTGATTCCTTCCACCCAATATATGAGAAACAACGGAGGCGTAGGCTATACCACTGTGTGCACATGAAGACATCTGGCTCAACTTGTACAATTACTCCCTTTAACTCTCCAGTGACAAGTGAACAAATCCACAGCAGCTGCTGCATTGAAAAAATGACAAAATATGTTACTTCTGCCAGTTCAAAATTAAAATAAAGCAGTCTTGAAACACTAGCATTGCTCCTGAATTCCACATATATGAAAAACCGGGTCTGGACAAGCGGACTCCCAAGCTTGTAAAGAAAGAAGGACTTTGAGGGAGGGCAGAAAGTCAGGGTCTGAAAGTAGGTATCCGTGAAGAAATCCAAGCACTGGTTCTCATTTACTAGCTCTAAATCCGGGACAATTAGAATCCATTTCACATGCCAGAGCGGTCAGCCAGGTACATCACGCTGCTGTTTCCCCAAGATGAAATCAGAGTAAAACCCTGCTACCAGCGGATTTCCGACTGACCTCAGGGTCCCCCCCTCGCCACGGAAAGGGGAAGCCAGAAAGCTGTGGAGCAGCAGCATTCCCAAAGACGAAATTCACAATCTACAGAAGCCCCGCCCCTTTCTGGACCTCAGGGGTCTTTCAAACTACTGCATCAGAATCACGTGAGGACCTCGTTAAACCCACAGATCCCGGTGCCGTCCCCCAAGGTTCCGACCCGAGGGCTGAAAATCTGGATTTTTACCAAGGGCCCCAGGTGATTCCTAGGCTCGCTGAAGATGGCAAATTACTGCTTGCACATCTCCCTTCCTAACTTGGAGCCCACAGACAACCTACAGGTTTCCAATTGGCTCCGAAACAACTGGGGCTTCATTCCAGGAGCTTCTGCGGCCGCAAGTTGTTAGCTCTGTCATCCGAGAGGGTGAGCCGAGCTCTCGCAGGCCCCAAGGTCGGCCCCGCGGCCCCCGACTGGGCTCCGGGTCGTTCGCGGCCCCGGGCAGAACCCGGCCCAGCCTCTCCCGGCCCACGGGGACCCCAGAGACCCCCGGCCCCGTGACGTGACCAGGCCCCAGCCTCGAGCGACGGGCCGGACGCCCTCGCGACCAGGCCTCCTCAGGCGGGCCCGTTAGCCCCCGGCCCCCTCCCCGGTCACAATGGCAGCTCGCGACCGGGAAACAGGCGCCCCGCAGGCGGGGGCCTCGGGCCGCCGCTCCGCATCCACCCCCGGTACGGACCTTCTCCAGGGGCGCGTCCATGGCTAAGGCGGCCGGTGGAGCCCGATGGAGGCCCGGCAATCCCGGGCACTACTTCCGCCTCCCGAGCTCCGCCGCCGTTTCCACGCTGGCAGCGCTGACGTCCCGCTCGCCCGCGGCCGGCGGGGCGGAGAAGAGAAGGAACTTCCTGGCTGCGCAGCGGGGAGTGGAAAGCGGGGCTCGGGAAGGCGGGGGAGGCGGGGCCCACGGGGAGGCGGGGCCCATGGGGTGGGCGGGGCCCTCCAGGTTTCCGTACAAGGCCGTCACGCCGGCCAGCCCAAATGTTTCCAGATGAGAGGGGGAGAATGGATGGTGGAGCCGTTCCAAACTCTCTTCAGAAGCCTGTCCTGGTGTCAGAGTAGAAGTATAATAATTACAAGGGGTTACTCATGTAGCAAAATGCTGGTAATACTGGTAACGCACCTCTACTTCCGGGCCTAGTGTTCCAAGTTCTCCCCGCTATCGCCATTCCTCAGGAATGGAACAGGCCATTCACCACGGAGAGGCGGGGCGACCGAGCGCCCCCGCGCACGCGCAGCTTTGGTGGTTTCCTAGGTGCTCAGGGCTTCGCGGGTTTCAGCTATTGGACTCCTGACCAGTGACCGCTACTCTGAAAAGGCGCTGATCAGAGCTGAGGTATTTGTCTCAGACCTTACCGCAGAATTCTAGACGGAAACGACTTTGAGACAACTGGCTCAGCCACTTTCTTCGTGTCAGGCCACAATTATGACTTGTTAGGTAATAATGATAATAATAGATCAGTTGCTGCTATTCCATTTTATGGTACAACAGCCTTGTGATGTAGAGATCATTATTATCTCCATTTCACAGTGCCAATCTAGGTTGGATCCAAGCACCCTGACCCCAGCGTCTGTACATTACACATACTGCCTCTATAACCGCTTCCACCCCTCCTGTATAATCATAAGGTGTTTCCAGGGAATAAGAGAAGACATAAATTTCCTTATTCTTCCCTCTAAATGAGGAAAACTGAAATGAACTAGTCTATCACGGTTACAGTCCGTAAAACAATTCACCACTAGTACACCGATGACGTTACAACCGCAAAACCATACCTATTCTCTCCTGTTCTGGGCGCCTCTCTTCCGAAATCTGTGTAAATGACTGGGTTGCATTTTCAGTGTAGTAATTATATTTTTTGAGCTCTCTAAATTGTGTTAGATAAATTGCCCAGTTATGTTAATAAAATTATTTTCTACCAAAAGAAGCTTTGTGTACAGTGGGAACTATTCAGATTCTCCACAGAGCTCTGCAAACAGAAAAGGATGATAGATTTATGTCTTCCAAGATCTAAAAGTGGAATGTACCTCTTCGAGCTAAACAAGTCACCTTTTCCAACGTGTTGTTATCAAGCATTTAGAAAAGTTGTTATACCATGAACACCCATATGCCTATCCTACAATGAACATCTACCTGTATTTGCTTTACAAATATGATATTTACATAAGTATCCATCTATCTATCCATCAATACGTCTTATGTTTTGATACATTCCAAAATTGCAGACATCAATACGTTTCACCCCTTAACACCTCAGCCTGGGTATCATTAAAAACTCCTAATTTTTAAAACCACCTCCAAGTATCTGGATTATATTAAAAAGTAGATTCTACAAAACAAATACTAGAGAGATGAAACTTACATTTTCTATTTTAAAAGTAGACTTTAAAAGCCAACATGAAGAAAGTGGGAATAATTGGTTCATTCAATATTTATGCAAATGTTTATCGACTGCCATCTTGGACAGTTAGGGGCTAGAAATACAAGATCCTGCCCTTAAGAAAATGCTGTTTAGGGCAGAGGTTTTTACTTTGGACCCAGGGGGAGGTCTGTGAAACTCCTGAAACTATGCTCTAAATTTTGCGTGAGTGCATTTTTCTGGGGAGCATTGCATAGCTTTCAAGATCAAGTTGGACACACACACACACACACACACACACACACTCCTGTCAAAAGAAATTAAAACCACTTGGCTTGTAGACAGACAGATATGTAAGCTGATAAATTATAATGCGGCATTCTATGGGCTAGAACAGAGAGATGAGAAAAATATTGTTGGAAGCCAGAAGATGAAACCACTCATTGTGGGAACAATTTGGCTTATATGTTCTGATATAGACCTTTCCTGATTAATAGGCAAAAAGCAAACCAAATAAAGGAAGTTTGTGGTTATTTTTCCTTTTGGGTCCATTCACATGATTTTTATTGTATCCTGAATAATATTTACATACCCATATTGTAGATGTTGTTTTTAAGTCTTTAAGTTTTAGAATCAACCAAATTACACATACGGAAGATATAGTTATTATTCACTATGGTAATATAAAAATGATAAATTACCAAAAAGTGGGCAGGAAGAGGCGAGGTGAAGAGGAACATAAGGGGAATCACTAATGTCCTCAACTTCATTCCAGGAAGTAAGTAGATACTCTCTAAAAGGGCTAAATCAAGGACTTCCCTGGTGGCGCAGTGGTTAAGAATCCACCTGCCAATGCAGGGGACATGGGTTCGAGCCCTGGTCCGGGAAAATCCCACATGCTGCAGAGCAACTAAGCCCATGCACTACAACTACTGAGCCCACATACCACAACTACTGAAGCCCGTGCACCTAGAGCCCGTGCTCCACAACAAGAGAAGCTACCACAATGAGAAGTCCAAGCACCACAAGGAAGAGTAGCCCCGACTCACCGCAACTAGAGAAAGCCTGCGCGCAGGGATGAAGACCCAACGCGGGCATAAATAAACAAAAGCATTTAAAACAGTGAATAAAAGAGCTAAATCAAGATTCAAAGTTTTAACTACAATATTTAAAGACATAAATGAAACCTCGGAAGAAATAAAATTAACAAAAATCAGGAGTTGGAGAAGATAGGAAAGCTGATGCAAATGGCAATAAATTTCTCATTTTTATAGTAAGGAGTCAATATATTTTTTCTGAATTAAGAAACAGATATAAGGATATTTTTTACAAAGTAGAAGGTAAAGGCTTTGGAGGAATGGGACTAGGAGTTTGGAGATGAAAGAAAAGAAATGGCAATATTCCATTTTATATTCTTCTGCACTATTTGAATTTTTATCATTTGCATGCATTTTCTCTTATGAATTAAACAATTTAAATTAAATTGCCTGTAAAAACTAGATTTCAATCATTTTTTAATATTTTAAAATTTTGAGAGAGAAGTCTGCAGTCCCTAAAGGCGACTTGAGGTGGCAACCCTGAGACCATTTGTATCCTACCTTACTTCATTAGTTACACCAAGTTCACTAACAAATTTTTTTTAATCTTTCTATTGTTAAAATATAGAAAACAACTTAAAAGAAATGAATTGTCATTGACTAACACCCTATAATCACTAACACCCTATAATCACCATCCCCCCCATGAAAGGAACCTTCTCAGATATTCCATAAGCCCCAAAACAATCCGTCCCCTCCCAAGAAAAAATAACCACTCCCCCACATTTATAGTAATCATGCACTTACGTTTTCTTTGTAGTTTTATCACCCAAAGATGCATCCCTAAACACAACAGCTTAGCTTCATCTTTAAAAACAAAAACAAAAACTGAAACAAAGCCCCATCTGTATCTATATCTGTATCTATATCTATATATCTTTTTAGTCTCTTTTAATCTATAGGTTTTCCTATACCTTTTTCCTCGTTTGCAACTTATTTGTTGAAGACACCAGATTATTGTTCTAGAATTTCCCTTAGTCTGGGTTTTCCTCTGTTCTCTATATTTCCTGCAGATTGGCAGTTGGACTTAGGCTTAATCAGATTCAGATTTGAAGTTTGGGGGAAAGTAGTCAAAGATGGTGTTGTTCTCTTCACCAAGAGGCACAGAGTACCTGGTTTTCTCTCTTTTTGTGTTGTTAGCAGGCACTAATATTCTTTAACTTACATTAATTCTGACCTGAATGGGAAGGACTGTGGATTTTCTTATACCATACACATTTTTATATCTGAGGGAGGTTCTTCGAGAGTGTAAGTCCGAGATATGATTTCATATCACTCTACTTTCATTTTTGGGTTTTTTTTGATGTAATTTCAAACTTGTAGGAAAGTTGTCAGAAGAGTACAAAGAAATTTTTAAAACTCTTCACTCAAATTCCCCAAATGTTAATATTTTACCATACTTGCTTCATTGTTCTCTCTCTAAATAAATATGTATATACACATATTACTTTTTTTGTGAATCATTTCATAGTCAGTTGCAGATGATGCCCTTTGATTTCTAAATAAATTAGTGTATATTTCCCCCCAAAGAAGGACATCCTCCTTCACAACCACAATACAAGTAATAAAATCAGGAAATTAACATTGATACTATTTCCTCTTTAAAAAAATTTTTATCGAAGTATAGTTGATTTACAATGTTGTGTTTAATTTCTGCTGTACAGCAAAGTGACTCAGTTATACATATATATATATTCTTTTTCATATTCTTTTCCATTACAGTTTATCACAGGATATTGAATATAGTTCCCTGTGCTATACAGTAGGATCTTGTTGTTTATCCATCCTATATATATAAAAAAATAGTTTGCATCTGCTAATCCCCAACTCCCAATCCTTCCCTCCCTCCCCCTCCCTCTCCCTTGGCAACCACAAACGTGTTCTCTATATCTATGAGTCTGTTTTTGTTTTGTAGCTAGGTTCATTTGTGTCGTATTTTAGACTCCACATATAAGTGTTATCACTTGCTGTTTGTCTTTCTCTATCTGACTGACTTTGCTTAGTATGATAATCTCTAGGTCCATCCATGTTGCTGCAAATGGCAATATTTCATTCTTTTTAATGGCAGAGTAATATTCCATTGTACCTATATACCACATCTTCTTTATCCATTCATCTGTCGATGGACACTTATGTTGCTTCCGTGTCTTGGCTATTGTGAATGGTGCTGCTATGAACATTGGGGTGCATGCATCTTTTTGAATTACACCTTTTTGAATATATTCTCTGGATATATGCCCAGGAGTGGTATTGCTGGATCATATGACAATTCTGTATTTTTAGTTTTTTGAGGAAACTCCATACTGTTCTCCATAGTGGCTGCCCCAATTTACATTCCCACCAGCAGTGTAAGAGGGTTCACTTTTCTC